TTTAAGCTAATAGGTACGTGATGATAAAAATATAATTCATGTTTCATGTAATTTTTACCATAAATTTTATTAGTCATCTATTTAAAATTTTATTTTTGTTGTAAACTTAGAGTAGCAGTTCATTACCTCAACAAACTCAAATTAGCCCAATACCACATTTGGTATACAAATTAAATCCAGTGGATTGTTTGGATAAAACTCAATCAGGTTTAATGAAATATAATAATTCTTATGAATATGTTCCCTTGTGTATGTTGCACTTAAGCATTTTATTTCATATTTTTATATTTACTATTTATAGAAATCATTTAGATAAATAAACCGAATACAATTACTATGAAATTATTAAATTTAATTTATATGGAGCAAATGCAAAGTAAAATTAAGTATGACCATTTATTGTCTAAACTTAATAATATTGAAAGAGCTGTTAACAGAATTGGATAAAAAAAACAACGCTTCAACTGTATTACCCAATGTCGATGATAATTTTATGTCAAATTGGCCCATGAACATGAGCAAATGTTTCAACATGTTTCAAACTGTTTGTTGAACGATTCATTTGTTTCATTAGTGGCACGTATATTGTTATAAATTTATAATAATAATAATATAAATCATTAATTTAAATTCACACCAAAAATAATTTTAATTATATTTTAAAACTTCAGGAACGTTTTTTTTATATCTATTGGTGGGGACGCAGTTAAAGATAACGTAAAGAGAGTTCTTGCAAAAACTTTTACTGATGAGTTTGCTATACGTTGTACATGGACAGGAAGAGGAAAAGATATTTCTACAAAATTATGTGATTCTAAAATTGTAGTTGTATTAAAAAGTAAATAAACTTAAATAGTTATTTTTCACATTTAACTTCAATATTTTTAAATTTATAATTAATTATTATAGGGTGCATAAAGTAAGGTCAAAAGGATTATAGTGATGCTTTGTTTGAGTCAATTTTAGCTGATTGATTTCGTTATGCTACAACAAGATAAAAAAGATCACTAGAATAATACAGTAGTATTTGTTAACCTAACCTAACCCCCCGCACACATAACTTGCCCGCCCGAAAACTTCCAAGACATTCATTTCCGCAAAAATTCAAAAGCTGAATCGTAATCAGCGGCACGAGCTCTACAGAATTACATTGTTACAGCACTTTTGCCAATTGTTTGGGAATGTTACAGTACGTTATATTCCGATACTTAACAATGTAATACCGTAGTTCTGCAGAGCTCGCGCCGCTGATTACGATTCAGCTTTTGAATTTTCGCGGAAATGAATGTCTTGGAAGTTTTCGGGCGGGAAAGTTATGTGTGCGGGGGGTCGTAAATATTACGTAAATTCGCGAGACGTCTACAATTTAGCCTCCAATGACCCATCGGTTTTGTCGACAAATCCTATGGAACGGTGACCGGGGAGTATTTTCGGTCCTTTGCGGGGGGGGGGGGGGGTCGAAAAAACAATATTAACCGAGATATACGTATGATTGTGTTTTAAAAAATTCCAAAAATCGTGAAACATCAACCCTTTGACTGATTGTAAGTTTCTTAATCAATTCAAATTGTTGTATCACTTTCAATTATTTACGGATAAAAGCTGCTGCGTTAGTTCCAGTAACCACATTGGTCAATCGATGATGCCCATCACCATAAACATAGTAGACCATATACGGACAATTATTATTTAAGGTTATAAATTATTTATAAAACGTGAAGTTTTCATTTATGAAATTAACAAAAACCCTGATGTCAAATATGGGAAACATGCGATTGATTAGACAACCCATGCTGGGCCGGCCCGCCCCTAAAAAGGTGCTTAGGTCAAGACAAATGCAAAGGAACATTATTCCACACCAATGCGATGTAAGTATAATAATGTATACTACTCATTTTTCAAATAATAAAATATTATTAATTTTCCAAAGAAATCAATAATGGCCGTCGCCAAAGTTATCGCCTACGTTAAGAGTATGGGGCATACAAAAATAAATTATTCAACTTTACAATTGGCTTCGTTTGCATCAGGATTATTCAACATCAAAATTGACAACATATTAAAGTACCAATCTTTGGAGATCCAAAAAATGTTGTTTAATTTAGACACTTGTAATGGCTGTTTGAATAACTCAAGATATCTTTCGATATTTAATTAAGTAAAATCCAAATTTAATATTAATGCTGATGACCAATCAATAATAGATTTCCTTATTGCTGATAATAAACATATAAATAAACAGTCAAAAAAAAAAAAAATCAGTTTACAAAAATGAAATAAAAACAATTGTGTCCAGTTTGACTTTTAAGAGTCTTATCGGTATTGATAATTTTAAGTAAGTACTGGTAAACAAATGAAAGATCGAACATTTTTTTTTAATTTGTAATTATTACTCATTACAGTTCTGCGAAAAGTACAACTAATTTAACAACAACGTATCATGCAGATAATTTTACAAATAATGTAATCGTGATGGGACAAGAATTAAAAAAATTATTATTTCTTTTAGAAGACAATATCATTACCCAAAAATTGTGGGACATAGTTCAAAATATGTTTGATAATTTCATTTTTTTACCAAGTAAAATGAAGATGTTACATCAACAATTGTTTTCAATGTTCATGTTTCAGGATTTCACAGCATACAATTATGAGTAAATATACACATTCATAAATTACATTAATATGTATACAATATTGTATTTCATTGTTATTTAATATTTTCAGAAAACAAAATCCTGATATTGGATATATTTTAAAAAACATTATACATTCATTTGTAAAATGTACAATTATGAACATAATTAATATATGTTACGTATGGCTGTTCTCGGAAGACAATATGACCCACATTAATAATTGCGACATTATATATTATACAATCATTGAACAATGTTTTAATAAAATGTGTGTCAATTTACAGAATATCTCAAAGAATTTATATTTTGATATTTATTTGATAACGTAAGTTTTAACCCTGTCACTTTTTTTTTGCCTATATTTATTGTATATGTTTTATATTTTACAGAGAAGAGCAGAATAAAGTATTTTTAAACATCGCTATTGATGAAAAAACATTTAGTTATAGTATTAATGATATCTGGCATAATAATAATACCTTTGATGTTATCGACGTTTTAGTTTTGGGTATAATAAAGTTGCATAATGATCATACCAAAAACATGAAATATTCAACGGTAATCATTGCTCTAAAATACAATAGTAGTAATAGTACTATATTTACTATTATAATATAGTAGTATGAAATTAATAGCATTGAACTAACCGAACTTTAATTATTTTTTTTCAGGCCACACATTTATATAATACTTTTTTATTAATTTCAAATATCCTTCATTTAAATTTTCAGACTTATAACAATAAACAATCATTCCGAAATATACTTAATTCTCTTACTAAACAAAAAACAATATTTATAGTAAAACAATACAACAAAAGTGCATATTCATACTTCATCTATTATGAAAACGAAACTACAATATCTATAATAAAAAAATCTTATCTCTTTGACTATATACAAAAAATTAACCGAGACACCATTTTATTTTATTCGAAAAAATTAAATTTAAAAACAAAACTCTTTAACAATTCAATCAAATTTCCTTCATCAATACCCACTAATAATATAAACAAAGAATTAATTAATAATAACATTTTGATCATGAAAAATTTTTTAAAACATATAATTAAAACAGAATTCCAAATAACAGATCATTTAACTTTTCCACAAACATTTAAGGAAAACCTATCATCTTACCGTCATCATTTAATCAGCCTAATAACATACTTATCCGATAACAAATTAATGAAATTAACTAATTATAATTGTAATTCAATTATGGAAATCACACCGGTTTCAACAGTAAAATTTCATAAAAAAATTAAAAAGAATGACAAATGTATTGCAACAAACCAATTTTATTGAAGGTAACTATTTATTAGCATATATTAGCCAACTATCAATTTCCAATTGTTAGGTACTATAACTTTTATGTATTTTGTTTTAGATCCAATATTGTAATAGCCATTCATCCAATCAAATGAAACAGCTCTACTTTCTATATCTATAACCTAACCATTGTTAAATCTATTCATCTTTCATTAAATTATGTATTATCATTATTGACACTTTTTTTTTTTACAAATTTAACTGTAATACCTTGTCTACTTTAAGATACATCAAGCTGACGTAATTCTTAACTAAAGAGTAATCTTTTAAACAAATGTGATAACAGTGATTCTTGTAAATAATAATACATAGAATCAGGGGTATGCTGGTGTACGGAAACAGTTTCAATGTTTGAACTTCAGATCATAGGTAAACACTTCACCCATCAGCTGATCGAGTTTCTATTCTATATTGTTCTGTGATAGAATCAAATAAAAATATGGAATTTACACATCATATTATTTTTTCTTCCATGGTCTACATATGACAAATAATATTTAAACCGTTTCCAACGCTAAATACCGGTTGAATCACGGTCTTAAAAGATAAGGTCGGGACTCTTTACTTATCATTGTGTCCGCTTACAGAGGACATTTTGGTACTTATTTAATCCGCTATTTTCATGGCGCCTCTGTTCCAACTTTCTGAATTTTACTATTTACCAACTTACTTACTATCAGTTTAAATTAGTATTTGTACACGTAGATTTTGAAAGGGACATGATTCTTGCAATTAAAAATGTTTTAGGAGACTATGTAACAATCAAAGGTTGTTTTTATCATCTCACTCAATCTGTACATCGTAAGATTCAAGAGTTAGGATTAGAAAATTTGTACGAGGTCTAATCAAAAAGTATCGAAACTGATACGATTAATCGTAAACCGGTTTGAGTATGAACTTGCACGTGCTATATTAATCTAACTTTATATGTTGGGAAAATATATTAGACATAGATTAGATTAAAATTGTTTCAGTCGGCTTCTAGGTGCGATTAAGTCAAGTATGTTTTTACGTCCCGTCGGATTTCATAATGAGCGAAAATACAGAACAACGAGTGTGCATTAAATTTTGCCATAAACTGGGAAAAACGGCTACTGAAACCTACCAAATGTTATTGTTAGCTTATGGAGATGAAACCATGTCCCGTGCTCGCGTTTTTGAATGGTTTAAACGATTTAAAGAGGGTAGAACAACTGTTGAAAGTGATGAACGTGAAGGACGCCCATCAACAAGCCGCAATGAGGAAATGATACAAAAAATACGAACAGCAATACGAGGTAACCGTCGTTTGACAATTATGGAACTTAGTAATGAGTTTCAAATTTCATTTGGATCAGTTCAAACCATATTGACGACTGATTTAGACATGAGAAGAGTTGCAGCCAAATTTGTACCAAAACTGCTCTCAGGTGAGCAAAAAGAAAATCGAAAACAGATCGCCACTGATTTGCTAGAGTGTTCCGAATCTGATGATTTTTTTTTAAAATCAACTGGTGACGAGACTTGGGTAAATGGCTACGATCCAGAAACAAAGGTACAATTTTCGCAGTGGAAGACACCTGATTCACCACGACCCAAAAAAGCTCGTCAAGTTCGGAGTCAAGTGAAGGTCATGTTGACCGTTTTTTTTGACTACCAAGGTGTTGTTCATCATGAGTATGCTCCTAAAGGACAGACTATAACAAAGGAGTACTACATTGATGTTCTTCGCCGTTTACGAGACGCTGTACGAAGAAAAAGACCCGAGTTTAAAGAGTTTGGTAGTTGGAAATTGCATCACGATAATGCACCAGCCCATTCAGCCCATGTTGTGCAGCAGTTTTTGGCTAAACATGGTATCCCAGTTGTTTCTCAACCCCCCTATTCACCAGACCTAGCTCCATGTGATTTTTTTTTATTCCCAAAAATAAAAATGGCGCTTAAGGGTAAACGTTTTCAAGATGTAGATGAAATAAAACAAAATGCGACGGAGCAGCTACGAAGAGTTTCTAAAAATGACTTCCACAGGTGTTTTCAAAAATGGCAGGAACGTTGGAGAACATGTATGGACTCAGAAGGAGCATACTTTGAAGGAGATTGAATGTAAATAACTTTATCTAATATATTTTTTATTTTTTTTTTAACAGTCTCGATATTTTTTGATTAGACCTCGTATAAGAATTACGAAACATTTAGTGAATATTGTAGAAAATTAGATGCTTTACCTTTTTTACTTACTACAGATGTAAAAGCGGGCATGGATTATTTGAAATGTGCAATGTGTGATGAAGTTATAGATTTAGTTACATACTTTGATTCCACTTATGTAAGTGGTACATATAGGCAAATAGCACAAAACGATTTAAGTATCACTTTACGAAACTGCCCACAAATGTTTCCTCCAAGTACATGGAATGTTCATGAAGCAAATCTAAATAATGAAGACTGAACTGGTGGGTGGAATCACAGATTTAGCAAGTTAATTCGACATAATCATCTCTCAATAGGGACGTTGATTTCCAAAATACGTTTAGAAGTTATATTCAATGAAACGAAGTTGGTTCAAAATAATATAGGCGGATATGAACCAAAAAGAAAACACTATTTATGAAAAGATGAAAATTAGACTAAAAACATTATGCGAAGATTACAAAAATGGTAAAAGGAGTATAGAAAGTTTCTTAACTGCAGTTTCAAACACTATACATTATCATTAATTTTCATATATGTATAGTGTATTATATTATCAGTGTCACCAATGGTTAAAAATTATAAATAATATAATATTTGAGAACAAATGTTTATTAATTAAATTTAAAACAATCAATAATAAAAACAAAAAACACAATTAAAAGTAATTGAAAACGTATACGGTGTACCTACGTATTAATTATTTAGTAATGCAACTAGTATGTAATATAGTAAAAAATAGAAAATAAAATAAAACGTAGATTATTATTGCTGATAATTTGACGAATAACATAGACCGTCGACCACAGAATAATATTTTATGATGTTTTGTAACATACTTGGTAGATGGGCAATGTAATGTTAATATTTGGTGACCATTCATATGATGCAGCCCCTATGGAGCACTAGTGCAGAAAATGATGCAACCGCTAAACGCGCTAGTGTAGTGGTTAGTTTATGATGCAACCGGTAGGTAAGCGCTAGTGTAGAAATGATGCAAAGGTGGTGTACCATATATTGAAGGTTATATTGAAGGTTTTGAGGACTTGGGTCATTATGGAAGGATCAATAAAAGTGCCAACTGTGTTCTAGTATTTATGGCCAGAGGTATTTATTCTCAGTGGAAAATTCCAATTGTATATTTTCTTTCTTATTCTGGAGTAAGCAAAAACATTTAAAAAAAACTAATACAAGACGTTCTTAAAAAATTATTTGAAGTTGGATTGTGTCCAAAAATTATAGTATGTGATCAAGGCACAAACAATCAAAGTACTTTAAAATCATTAAATGTTTCCGAAGATAGGCCTATAATTTCATTTGATGACATAAAAAAAACATATGAGTTAGATAAAAAAAATCTCAAGAGTAGATGTCTCGTCAAAAAACAGATGCACATATTTATCCAAATTCTTTTCAAAAATGAATGTTAAATTAGCAGCACAATTATTGAGCCATTCTATGTCAGCAACGATCCGAACTTGTATACAAACTGGACAACTTCAAAGTAACACATCTTTAAATACTGCAGATTTTATTGAATTTATCAATCATTTATTCGATTGTCTTAACAGCAGATCTTTATATAGCCAAAATCCATATCTATGTGCATTAACTGAATCAGGTACTGTACGTAGTAGGATCAAAAAGTTCCCGGAATTTATTTATAGAAAAAAAACTATTTTTCTTATCAAATATCTATTTATTGGAATTAAAAGTAGACATTATTAGTTATCTGTAGGTTTTGTCGTTAAAATTACATTAGTCTCATGCGAGTCGTAATCGTGTCCATACGAAACGGAGTTTACGCATATTTTCAAAATGTCACAATTTGAACAACGCGCTAACATTAAATTTTGTTTTAAACTTGGAAAAACTGCTGCAGAAACGCTTGAATATTTGAAAACAGTTTATGGCGATGAAGCATTAAAGAAAACAGCCGTTTATGATTGGTTTAAACCGTTCAAAAATGGTCAAGAGTCAATTCGGCGAAAAAGGCAAAGAAAATGGGAAAATGGTTGGTTTTTGCATCATGACAATGCACCGTGCCACTCGTCTTTTGTAGTTCGGCAATTTTTAACGGATAAAAAAATTTCTACAATTCCATAACCCCCGTATTCGCCAGACATTACTCCATGTGACTTCTGGCTGTTTCCAAATCTAAAACTTGGACTCAAAAGTGAACGTTTTGCGACGATTGAAGACATTAAAGTTAACGCAACAGCAAATCTCAGGACCATTCCAATAGAGGGATACCAAAGATGTTTCCAGCAGTTACAAAGTCGTTGGAGTAAGTGTGTCTGTGCTGAAGGACGATACTTTGAAGGAGATTAAGTAGATTTATATTTAAATTGTATACATAAAAAAATAAAATGAAATTCCGGGAACTTTTTGATCCTACTACGTACACAATTTCTTAAAAAAAGCCAGAATATTTTACAAATTTTCAAAAATTAAAAAAAGGAAAATTAACTCAACCTCCTTGTTTTAAAAAGGTTTCACACAGACAATTAATGATGTGTTGCAATTTTTCGAAGAAGACAAAGCTCATAACATTGTATTTTTAATGACTAATAGATTAAATCAGGATATATTAGAAAATCTATTTAGTATTTTTCAACAAATGGGTGGTTATAATAAAAATCCAACAGCCAGAACAATTAGGACTTCTATAAGAAGTAATAGATCATAAAATGTACATAATTGAACAACTTTTAATTTGCAAAATATTTAATAAAACAAAATTATTTTCAACTACTTCAAAATTAGCAAAACTTTCAAAATTAAAAATATTAAACCATATTTAATTATAAATTAAATAAATGTTTTCTTGTTCTGGCATTGTACCTATTTGCATAAAGCAATAGAAGCAGTATTAATTGTCCTCTATAGGACTCACATTTAATAGTTCTTTTCAGAACTTTATGTTGATTCTATTAAACAATTCTTTTTAGGACTAATTACTTCAAATTTATAAAACGGTTGTTTTCAGAACTAATAAACATCACAATTTACTATTATTCTAAATTAATTTATTAATTCTAAATCCAGACTCCAATGTAATGTAATTTTAGTCTATCTTTACTCGCAATCGTTTTTCATAATATGCAGATTTATTGTTAGTTTCTAAATTTAACATATTCAATATGTACCTACTCAATATTAAAATACAACTGCATTATTTTATTTATAAATAATAATAATAATATTTCATTAATTGTATTATTTATGTTGTTGCGATTTTATTTTTTTTAAATTTGAACATAAAATAATTTATTCTATTTTATAAAAAACTATAATATGGATAAAAATTTGCTGTATTGTTAAAATTTGGTAAATCTTGTGTAGTGTATAATGTAAATTGTAATACAATATTTTTTTACAAAGCAGATTTTACTGAATCTTAGCATTACAAAATAAATTAATTTTTCGTAATAAAATAAATAATTACTTTTTGGTCGCGTACAACACAACGTAATAACGCAGAATATGAAAATAATTAATAATAATTTTACAATATTGTGGTGAATGGTGATAGTGCGATGCATGGAAAATATCATTTATCTACGATAAAGTAATTTATAAGCTTATCGCTTTTTCTGTCATTGCCAAAAACCGGTCTAAGAATATGTTATTACTACTTGCCGTCAGTACTCAGTATTAATATTATAATATTAATTCATACAACGCTACCTATTGGCAGCTATTAAAAATAAAATTTTAGTCACCGAAAATCCCTATACCATTGTCTATTTGTCTATTCTATAATCAATGGTTCAACCAATCACAAATTATTGTTTATATTAATTATAAATTATAATAATGATTTATATTTATTTGTGTACAAAACCGGATATCGCATTATCGGAAAGCGCGCAACTTAATTTTAGAATAACTAGCAAGATTGACTCTCGTACAGTGCACAGGTCGTTTAAAACAGTTACTGTTTAGAATTCAGACAATTTTTCCGTCAAAAATTACTCATTTTCAATCAATCAGTTCGATCGTTGTATTGATGCTATTACAATTCTGAAAATTAATTTGAATTCAGCGTGAAGTCTACTTGAGATCGGTCGGCCACTTTTTCAGTTTTATTTAATAATATTTTCTTAACATTACTACAAGACATAATATTTTTCAACAAATATAAATCAAATTTGTGGAATCTTGAGGGCAAAATTAAAAAATTGATTCCGATCGATCTCAAGTAGACTTCACGTTGAATGCAATATACTTTCAGAATTCTTATCGATTCAATACAATGTTCGGAACGATTGAAGTTTAATTGGTAGTTATTGATGGAAAAATTTTTCGGTACCAATCGCCTTAAAAATATATTTAAATTATGTTTTTTTTTTACCGATTACCGTTTCAAATTATACACTCCACTCCGACTTAAAAATTAAAACTATACATTTAGAAGCCAAAACGTTCTATAAACGTTTCTTTCATAAACTACCTTCCTATCCAAATTATCTAATATCTGGCCTAGCCACTTACACAATTTCAGGAAACCCACCGTCTAATAAGAAATTGGTGTAGAAATCTACTTAATAATTAACATAAAATAAAAAATAAAAAATTATAATTACTATGTATAAATAATCAAAAGGATTAAGATCATTGGATGGTTTCTTCCCTCACCCCCTATTCATGTCAAATCTACCATAGCACATATTCTTATTACGCCAAGGGCATAGATTGTATATATTCTAAATAAAAAAAAATTTATATTTTAAGGATAAAATAGGTTTTATGTCACATTTATGCATATGTATTTAACTACATTTAGCTCAAATCAATATAAATGCATACTATACACAAAATACATGATATCAAGGATTCATGATGCATAATTGTATTCATATATAGTTTTAAAATATACTATAACACACACACATATATATATATATA